ACACCATTTTATATTCCCACCAGTAATGCACAAGGGTTCTAATCTCTCCACATCATCCCTATTACATTTTATAAGTAAGAAAATATTTTAAAGGGAAAAGCTTTATATTAAAAAACAGCATTTATCCCTGCTTTTTGAATGAGGCTCGTATTTTCATTTTACATTGGGCCCCATAAATTTTGTAGCTGGTGTTGGCCGCTAGAATGACAAAAATTAAAAAGAATAACAACAACAGATGTTACCAAGGATGTAGAGAAACTGGAATTCTGATATATTGTTGATGAAAGTATAGAGTAGTACAACCATTTTGCAAACTGCTTTGACAGTTTCTATAGAGTTAAATACCTATCTACCTTATGATCCAAAAGAAAAATAAACATGTATACAGAAACTCTTATCATGAATGGAGATAAGACTAATTTGGGAAATATTTGGGAGTTAGTATTATCCTAGGAATAAAATTGAATCCATAGATTGAATGGTTATAAAGGATGAGGGAAGGCTAGAAAGGAGAATGGGATGTTTCCACATTTTTTTGGTTTGGGTTTTAAGTGATTTGGTGGGGTGATTCTCCTAATTGTGAGTAATGCACAAGACCCATTTGAGGAGGAAAAATGATGAATTTGGTTTTTCACATGTTGATTTTGAGATATATTTTCCCCTAGCCATTGTAGTTCATATTCTCTCTCAATCTTTTCCTCTTTCACTCCTACTTAGAAGTCCCACTTTCTATTATGTTTTTTCCACATAAAAGAACATTATTTAATTTTAGCCTCTCTTGTAAGCCTACACTATGTGACTAATTTCCTTACCCTCTGCCTTTTCCTCCCAGACCACGATTCTAGCTATGTGCTTTGGACCGATGGTTCTAATCATCAGGGGACACATAGACATTCAAATATATTTCTTGCCTTATTCTTTTTATGATAGATCTTCTAATTTAGCCTTATCTTGCAAAACAATTAAATTTACATGTGTCTTTACTATCCAAAATTTAGACAGTAAATTCTATATAATATTTGTTAACTTATAGATATATAGACCAAAATGAACTTAAATAACAAATGAATAATGTCTTTTGGCTTAGCTGTGGAAAGTAGAAGCACCACAGTATACATCTCAGGAAAAAAGTTTGGGGATGATATGGATCAACAAATGACTTTTCCAGTTCAGTGCAGCTTTTGGTCTTTTGTTGATATGGATTCATCTTCAAGGAGAAATACACAGAAAACCAATACTCTAATTGGTCAGATGGTAAAGTATATGTATATTCTGTTGTTAGGATATTGGTCATGGAATTTAGCCACAGATTTTAATCTTACTGTTTTTATTGCTCTTAATGTCTTATTATTTCTGTGCTTAATTTCTACACTTATTTGGATACTAGAACTAAATAATGACACAGTTGTTTGAAAATTTTCATTACTTAGTCATGCAAAGCAGGTGTCTGCTCACTAGAAATTATTATTTGAGTAGGTAGTGGGAGAGGCTTTAATGAATAATGTGTTAGGAAAATACTCAATAAATGGCATTTAAAAAAAAAACCTGGTTACCACAAAGTTCCCATGCTATTCTGGAATCATGTTAAATAATAATTAGTAATTAATAATAAATAATAATTATTAAAATTAGGCCCATAATTTAATGTGATTACATATTATAATAATATAAATCTATTAATAGTTTAACTAATAATTATAAGTAATACTTGTGAAATAATACTCAGTTTCTGAAAATGTCAGTGTTTAATATTTTCCTTTTACTTTTTTCGTTTGATGTAGGATTGCAGTTTGATTCCGGCTAATCTTGTAGAGGCATTTGGATTATTGATAAACTGCAATGAATCATCTCCTTGCCACCCACTTCTTCCTACTGTCCAACATACTTTGAAGAAAGCCATTGATCCTGAAGGGCCGCTTTATGTAGCATCTAAACAGTTCAAAACTGAAGATTTTGAAAAGGTAAAGATAGAAAAAATAATTACCAAGAATACTTGTGCGAATGTGTCTCAATTTAAATAGAATTCCCTTTGAACATTCAGTTTTCCTTACTTAGGATTCTTTTATTCTAGCTTGCTTCCAGCTTTTAAACATTTTAAGGACACTGTATAGAAAATATTTAGGATTATAATTAAACTAAAAGCTCTATAGGAACATGGATATTAAAATGTTGAGTTTATTCTTTGAATCACTGACCAAATCACTATAGCTTAAAGAATTTCCATGAAAAAATTCAAAATAAAATGTTTCTATAAAATAGTGTGAGATGCCATTGTAGCTATATAGTTACATTTTACAGACTATTTAAAGGGGTTTCCTTTATATGAATGCCTTCAGAATTCTGACTATAGGGGATACCTATCATGACTCACAAACCCATTTATTTTAATGTCATGACTTGAAAACATGTGTGGTATGTTCAGAGAACCTGAGAGCAGATTATGTAAATTTAGAAATGACTCTTATAGCTATTACAGGTACTCAAGTATTTACAAGTGAAGCTCTTTTAATATTAACTATTGAGAAATCTGTTCACAGTAGAGTTAAAGTGTCTGGGTAATCCTCAAAGGCATGGAATATTAGGACGTGAGAATCCATGGGTCATTAAATTTTTTGTTCATTCCTGCCTTACTTGTAGCCATATGGCATGGTTATAAGGTTGAAAGGTGAGGTGGACTTAAAAATGAATTATCAGCATAGTTTATTCAGATAGATTAGAACAGATAAAGAACAATATGTATAATAAAATCAGGGGGTTTTTTGGTTTGTTTTAGTATATAAGAAAAAAGTAGTTAGCCTCTAGGAATTGAGCTACTAAATACATAAGACATGCTAATGACCTAGAAAAATTTTTGCCCAATTTTTCCCTGAAAAACAAAAACAAAAAAATCTATGGCTTTATTAATTAGCTAGGTATTTACTGAATACTTTATATATATGAGTCTATTTCTGTTCTCTGTATTCTCACAGAAATGTACATTTTCTTCTTTAAATAGTTTATTGTTTAACTGAGATAAAAACTAGATACATGAAACAATTAAGGGACAATTTAAGTGGTAAGCTGGGTAGTGCTGACTGTATTTCAGGAATTCAGAGAGGAAGATACTGAGCAGAATGCAAGAGTTAGGGAGATTCAGGAAGAGGAAGTTGGGCCTTAAGAAAAGGTAAGATTTAGATGACAGGAAGGATGGGCAGTCAAATAAAAATAAAAATAGCAGCAAAGACATAACAGTAGAAATGAGTACACATGGAAAACTACGAGAAGACCTGCCTGTCTGGAGCAAAAATTATATTATGGAGTCACTTAGATTAGGCAACTCTTGAAGAAGTTGACAACTGGAGGCCAGCGCTGACAGCTCTCCCAGCAGCTGGGACCACAGGTCCTTTACTTTTAAACCTCAGTAATATGAACCCTCCTAGGGTAAAACCTAGAGAGGGCTACCAGTGTTATTAGTAATATTATTATCCAGTTCTGAAGGCCTGGAGGAAATTGTGGAATGTAAGGAGAATAAAGAAGATAGGACATATCCACCCAGGACATATCCAGATCTTTTTTAAAAAGTTATATTTAAAATATATAATATATAGATATAGATATATAGATATAATAGTTAATAGCAACTTTATTATGGTTAATTTTTCCTTTTAGTTCTTTGAGTTAAAAAAAAAACAGAAAACAGCTAGAATGGTAAAAAGTCTGGAAATTCTGTCATAGAATAAGGACTGAAGGAGTTGGGAATCACTCAGAAGGAAAAAAAAATGACAAAACTCAGAGAAAACAGTAATAATCATTAAGCTGAAGACTTACTCTCTACCCAAAATCTTACTGAACCGCCAAGGCCCATCTTCATAGTAGTTAACACAGCAACTCCCACATTGCTGGTGTTTCATTGTGTTCTTTAAAAGGAAGGGAAAGAAGGAGGGCAAGCAGCTCTAGGGTCAGTGAGAGAAAGTTTTACGGAAATAAACTGCCAGAGAATTAAAGCTATTCAAAGGGAAATGAGCTTCTGAGGGAAGCTCTCTACCCACTGAAAGGCTCTGAGTGAGCCTTTATTCCACTGGAAGCAAAGACTTGATAGTCATTCAAATACATTGTACAGAACATTTCTGTCCTAAGGGGGAGGAAGAGATTATTCTTGGTAAACTTTAATATTCTTTACAAGTATAAGACTATGATTTAAAATGTTCAGTAATTTTGGGTTGGCTCCAGGTGTTTAATGAATTTCATTGTAAATAAAATATGCAAACTTTAAAAAATAAAATGACAATATACCTTAGATTTTTATAATATAGATTCTGTAATAAAGTTTGAATCTCTTAAATTTTTATACTTTCAATTTAGCTGCTCAGTTTTGCGAAGAATTTGAACGTAGAATTCAGCTTGGAGGCAGAAAGAATGATTCATGGCTATTATCTAGCGAGTCGCAGAATCAGAACAGATTGTATATGTGGACCCAAACTGTCAGCATCTGCATTAAAATATTTGTAGGTATTCAATTTTAAAATCATTAATGACTTGTAAATGATGTGTTTAGTTAACTGACTCATTTGTTTGTTTGATTGCTGGTTGGTTGGTTTATAATAAACCTTGTTCCAAATTAAGGTGACTTAATAATTCCTTCTGTTACAGTGTTACATCATGTGAATCTCCAACAATTTGTTTTCAGTAAATTAATTTTTATTGGGTCCCCTTATGAAATGTCTGAGAAAGCTCCACTGATTTCAAATGCAAATGATTGTTTTTTAAATATGACTGTTTACATTCTAGATATTTTGTTGAACCTAGAAAAAAAATTTAAGTATATTGTTCCTTGTATTTTTAAATACTTTAATACACTCATGTATTATTGTTCCTTGAGAAGTTTTTTAAAAACTAATTTTTATCGTAAAAGGGAAGTATGGACATAGTAAAATAAAAGTCTAAAATAATGAGTAGCGTGCCCTGCTAACCCTATCCCTTACTATCCTACTCCCTAGAGATAACCACTGGTGACAGTTTTTGTGTATTCTTCGAGAAATTATCCATTCATATACTAGCATATACAAATATGTAATTTAAATATGTGATTTATATTAAATGCATATTTTATTTGAGTATATTATATTCAGTGTGCTATTTTAGATGAATATATTATTTCAGAAATATCATATATAAATAATTTTATAATATATAAATATGAATATATTCATATGGATAGATATTCTCTTTTTGCCTAAAAGGAACCGTGCAATGTACATATTATGATATCATACTATCAGCATATAAAGAATTACCTCATTCTGTTTTAATAGCTGTATTACAGTTTTACTGTATTGTTGTGATGTGGCTGTAGCATAATTTTTTTTTTTTAATTTAAACAAATTTTTAAACATTTTTTAGGGGGAGGTAATTAGGTTTTTATTTATGTATCTTTAATGGAGGTACTGAGGATTGAACCCAGGACCTTGTGCATGCTAAGCACACACTCTACTACTGAGCTATACTTCCCCCATAGCATAGTTTGAACAGTCCCCTGTTGACAGACCATGACTTCATTTGATATAAATTAATGTATAGTCTCAACCAAATTATGAAATAGGACCAGGGGTAGAATAATCCATTAAATAAATAAATACCGTGTTATGACTGCAATATAAAATAAGAAAAGTGAAGGACTGACAGGAAATGTCAAGTATAGGACTATATGAGATACATATGTTTAGTTAATTTCTCCAACTGTATATTTATCTTCATAGAGCTTAAAAAATGCTAAAGATAGGGCAAGGTAGAAATCAACTGTGATGCTTTAACATGGTAAACAATTGTATGCTGCTTTCTATTTTCTGAAGTAATATTTAAAATACTCAATACTCAAAGCTTAAAAGATTTGATAGTCCTATTTTATCATAATGTTTTTTCTCTGTAGTAAAAAGATATTTTTTAAACTCACGTAGCCTCAGTTAACGTTGGACTATATTGATCCAGAATAAAGCAGAGTTAATTTTGATATGATAACTCTACTTTTTCCTGTTGTAGAAACAAACACTAGAGGTGGAGATGGGTTTTATGAACTAGCAAAGTAAAGGAACCACTACTCAGAAGAGTCATAAACCTTTAATGTTTCTCCTACTTCTGTAGACGGGTACCTAATAACACCAGCCTTGCTTTTCCAGAGAAGTGTTGTTGAGCAATACTTTCTTCTTTTTCCCTGAAAGGCTGTATACATAGTCTGTCCTAGTCAACATTTTTGGGTGAGGACATCAGGAACATGATAATCAAATGTATAAATAAACAATTCTGGAGAGATCCTCACAGGCTCAAATGTTGATCTTAGTTTAACAAGAAGAAAATTAATAAGACAAATGTAATGTCTCTAATTAGATCCTAACCTTCCTGGCACAAGTGTGAATCATGGGAAAGGGATAATGTGGCTTACTATTTAAAAGCCTTGAGATTTCTATTTTTTATGTTTAATATGCATAAGCAATGTAATATAGATGTAAATAATACTGTGATTTGGGGTTGTATTAATAGAATATAGTAATGAAGAGTGAGAAAATGCCAATTTTGCCTCACCTCCACTCTCTGATCAAATCACACCTGTAGAACTAAAAAGGAATATTAATCAAATCTGGTTGGGAGGGGAGTAGGCAGGATAATAAGGGGCCTGAAAATTATGTCTCATGACATACTAAAGGCACTAGTAATATTTATCTTGGAGAAATATTTTATCTAGAAAAGTTGTCTTTAAATATTTGAGGAGCTGTCACAAAGTATTAGACTTGTTTTATAATCCCAGAAGACAAAACAGGTACCAGTAGGTATAAATTGCAGTGAAACCAATTTCAGCTTACATTTATGTAGTCTTTGTGGGTGTCCCAAAATTTTCAAATGTCTTATTTGAAATCATAATAACCCTATTAATTACTATTATCCCCACTTAAGAGCACAGCTTCAAAAAAATCTTAGAAATTAAATGATTGATACAAAGTCGCACAGCTAGTATTCTAGAGACATAGCCCAGGTTTTCTGATTCCCATGTCCAGCAATCATTCAAGTACATTAAAAGTAGTTTAAAACTTAAAAATAAATGGATTGCCTCATGATTCCTAGGGAATCCTAGGTTGAAGTTCAAAAGAGACTGAATAGTAAGTAGTCTGGGATGTTGTAGAGAAAATTCAATTGGGATTTGATGGGATGTTGAACTTTGCTCTCTAAGATTTCTCCCAACATTGAAATTTCAAGATTCTATGAGGGCTTCAAGTGGATGAAGAACTGGGAGAAAACACCAAGGATGTGTCTATAAGAGATATTTAGTTAGGTTAATTTTCCCAACTGTGTATTTATCTGAATAGAACTTGAGGGGCGAGAATAGTAAACAAAAGCCAGGGCAAAAACCAATACTTTGATAATAAGTCAGGATACTTGCTTGTTCAGTAACGGTCTATTCAGCTTTGTAGGAAAAAATGCTTTGAAAAGAAACTGAAATTTTTGAAAAACAAGAATATGCTGAACTTTAAGGTGTGGCTTATGTTCATACATGTCTTGGTTTGTTCCTGCCAAAATATATGTTATCTTTATAAAACCAACATATTTTGATTGGCATTAATTTTCTTTTTCAGAGTTTCCCTATCTGAAGCTCATGCTCGATTAAACTTAAGGAATAAAGTGCTTAAAGAAGATGTACTAATTGCAGCCTTATTATTTGAAATATCTCTTACATTGAAATATGGTAATCCATTAAGCTATTAATAATCACTACAAATAATTATATTTAACTTAAAGATTCTTAGTCTGTTAAATTAAGATATTATATATATTTTAAATATTATTTTAAAGAATAATAAATTTCCACCAGGTAAGACCTATTTGAATTTGAACATTTACTAATTGTTTATAGGTAGTATCATTATGTGATATTAAGTTCCTAATTTTGCATGTTTGTTTCTATACTTGAACTTTTGCATTGCTTAAAGAATTGTGAAAAAAAGTACTTAATATGGCACATAAAATGATTTTAAATTTGTCTTCCTTTTAAAATAACATGCAACATTTAACTGTCAAGCAGTCCCCCATAGTGGAGTTAGGCATATAACCAGAGAAAATGTGATCATCTTGCATCACCACCTTCTCTGAATTGCTAGTTATAATATTGTAACTATAGCATTTAATTATTTGAAATGAAAGGAGCTTATTATGGTTTTGCTAATAAAAACATTAAAGGGCTCTTAAAGGTAAGAGTAAAGAGAATTATTCTCAGAGTTCTTTTTTGAGTTACATGAGACATAAATTTTGATGAGGTATACCATCCTTCAAACCAAACTTTGGTTCTGTTAACCTTAAACAATAAAAGAGCCGGTTATTTTAACCAGCAAAATGGGTTTCTTGGGGAGTAGGAAAGGATTGCAGCTGTGGTAAGCCACATGCAAGTCTGGTAAAGCAAAGAAGAAAAACTCTTTTACAGAGAAGGGTAAGTTGGGAGGGCTGTTACAACAAAAAGTCCATTGGGGGAAACTGGGAGGTCTAAGTATAGTGGCTTTTCATTGGCAGCACTGTGAGAGTCTTTCACTGGTGGAGCTGTTGCCAGGCTAAGAGAAAATCTTTCTTCCTCTCACTGGTGGTAATAGAGTAGTGACAGCTTCTGCTGGATACAGGGTATGTCTCTTCCTGTTGGGATCTGTATTGATGTTGAGCGGTACATGCCTGAGAGCTCCCCCCATCCCTCCGGCCTCCCGACTCCATTTTAGTGAGATTTTCCTTTATTAATTTTTAGTTCCTACTCTGGGAGTTAAAGAATGTATTAACATTGACTTTTCTGTGTGTGTATGTTTAGTGTTTAAATTTGCTTTGAATTCAATTTATATTGTAATACTTTTCTGCAAAGATCTATTAGAATATTAGAACTTTGTTCTATAATTATCTAATTTAAAAATTCTTAACTTAGGATTCATGGATACTAAGAGAGTCCTAAGGGCTTGTGAATCCCTAAGTTATATGTAAACTTGTATTTGTACATGCTTTGTACCTTTTTTCTCAGACGAATCATAAATTTTATGAATTATGTCTTAGAGGTTCATATCCCCAGAAAAGGTTATTTATCATACTGAATTAGTTTTATTTACTAAAAGAGAAAAATATTGGTTCCCAACTATACTAAAGAAGGATATATAAATATTTCATTTTTAATTTGCTTTATCTTCACATTCTTCTTTTGTTCTATATTTTAAAACATACTTGATAAAATCTAAAACATTATTTTATGTACCATGAAGAAAAAAATGCTGCCAGTTTTACTACGACATACATTGATTCAGTGGTCAACTGTATCATGTACTGAGAGTTTGAATAAGATTAGATTTGTCAGTCTAGAGGTTGTAAATGGCCATAATTAGAACTATTTCAATGGAGTAGGAGTAGGGGTGGGGTAGGAAGTGAGGATATGGAGACAGCACATAAGGACAACTTTGAGATGTTTGACTGTGAAGATGAAGAAATAAATAGGTTATTAGCTGGAGAAGGATGTGTAGTCCAGGAAAGTATTTATTTTTCCAAGATAGAAGATATTAGATCGTGTGATGTGTAGTAGAAAGTAAACTAATGATACTATAGAAGAAGGAAAGAACAAAGATTGTTAAAGTCCTTAAAAAGGTGAGAGGGGATGGGATCCAGAGCACATGTGAAGGTAAAAGTCTCTAACAGAAGAGTCACTTCATTTTACTGGATGGAAAACAGTGGGTACAGAATCAGGTGGGTCTGTAGATTCGGTCTTTTATTCATTGTGGTTTTCATTTGCATTTTTCATTGCATTCATCTCATTGTGGTTTTCATTTTTCTAATGATTAGTGATGTTGAGCATCTTTTCATGTGCTTATTGGCCATTTGTATATGTTGACTATAATTTTTGATGCACAAGTTTTAAATTTTGATGTGGCCTATTTTATCTATTTTCTTTCATTGCCTTTGTTTTTGGTGTTATATCGTAGAAATCATTGCCAAATCCAGTGTCACAAAGCATTTCTCCAATGTGTTTTTCTAAGAGGTTTACAGTTCTAGTTCTTACATGTAGGTCTTTGATTCACTGAATTTGATTCATTCATTCTGTAGATGATGTAAGGTAAGGAATCAACTTCATTCTTTTGCACATGGATATTGTTTCCACAGCACCATTTATTGGAAACATGGTCCTTTCCCCACTGAATGGTCTTTACACCCTAGTCAAAAATCATTTAACCACATATGCAAGGGGTTGTTTCTGGGCTCTTTATTCTAGTCCATAGATTTATCTTTTATCAAGATTATTGTTTCTCTACCTTCCAATACCTTCTCTCCTTACTCCCACCTCCTCACATCACTATTCAACTTCCAAACACTAATGGCTATTTCAATAGATGACCAATTTATTTGTGGTTTCCAAACTTTAAAATTTAAACATCAACGTATTTCTTCCCTTGGCACTGGTACCAGTTTGTGCATTTACTGAACCTGTTTTCTGGGTCTCAAAAATAATTTAAATAATGATTATTGAAATAACTATGCGATAGATCAGAACTTAAACTTTCACTGGAGTATTTTGTTGAAAATATGGTTTCACGTTTAGTGTTTTTAAGCATTTCTCATTTATACTTTTTCTTTCTTCACTTAGGGGCCACTGTATTTTGTGTTGCTCCAAATGCATTATTTCCATTTGAACTGTGTAATGAAGAATATTTAGAGCAAAGGGATATCTATCTGACTCAGTGTCAACAACAGCTCCAGCAGTTTATTGCCACTTACGGACCTGGGACAGCTATTTTTGCTAGCGATGAATAGACAATCTGAGGAAGTTTTTTTCTTCACTCCTATTCAAGCGGTGGAAAAAAGTTGAGTGATTTTGAAGTAATGCTTCAGGTAATCTTATGTATTGGAGTACATTAGAATGCCATCTTAAAAAATAACATTTTTTTCAAATTAATTGCTAATGGAATAAA